TGGCTGTCTTTTTGTTTTTGGTGAGGTTAAATAAAAAATAAATACCAGCTTGGTTGCAGAGCTGGTGTTGATAGTTTAGGAGTATAACTTGGGTGCTTTGTCCCTCTGTGATTAATTTTAAATGCAAAACCAGTTCCCTACATTCCTTAATGAGTTAATGAATGATGAAGTTACATTAGACACCTTTAATAGATATGTGTTAAAGGAGCTTTGTTGTAGTCAAATGTTCATAAAATTTGAAGCCAATTGTTTTTCCTGCCATTTTCCTTTTAGATGCTTCTATGGTTCAGGAAAAATGTAGTAAAGTTTTTGGAAGAGGGTTTTAATTTGAAGCGTTATCAGCTTAATTAAGATTTGATTTGAAGGTGTTCCTTGATTTTTTGTTTATCCATTCTCTTCCTTTTCAGCTCACTGATGAAAATGAGCAGTTAGTCAAGAAGGTGAAAAAACTACATATAAAAAATAAGGAGCTAGAAAGGAATCTGGATCAGATCCAAGAACAACTGTATCTGCAGCAGTTAATGCATGTCTGTGGCACAAGCAGAGAGTAAGACTTGTCAAATGTTTCTCTTTTGCATCAAAAAAGTGCAGCATTTCAGGACTTTTGTTTGCATGTCCTTAAGATGAGCTAGGCATTGTCTGCTCTGTGTATTTTGAGGCACCATCTGTGAAGAGGATGGTGGGATGGAAAACGCTGGGGGTCTGTAGAGGATCAAAGAACATCTGGGGCATCTTGTACAAAATTTATTGCAGTGAAAGAAACAGTTTTCATATCAAAAAGTAATACTCTGTCAAACTACAAAGGTTTTTACACTTTTTTCCACTAAAAAGTAGTAAGATAGAGATAAATTGAGCAGCATCCATGCTGCTTAAAAGATTTAGGACCTAAGGGCCTGCCAAACCAGTGGTTTGGAGAGTATTCTGCCAGGATTTACACACCAGATCACAAAAATCTTCCAAGGCTTAAGTTTTGGTGTGTTTGTGGTCCTGCCTGGAAACCTCTACCATAAAATCAAACTGAAAAGTAACTTGACCTTTTTCAGTTGCTTTGTGCAATTAAATTAAATTGGTGAAATATGATTTTATGAAGCTGTTGTGTTTGTTTCAATTAAGTGTTCAGGTTCAAACAGAAACCCATTTATGGCCTAAGGGTGGAGACAGCAAGGATCTGGTTCTAGAGAGTGACAGTGTCAGGTGAGTTCTTGGAAACTGCTTCTTCACAGAAATATTCTTCTCTGTAGTGTAGAAAATGTTCATGGTTAAGTCAGCTGATTTTTTAAAGCTGTTATGCAAGTGGCTTTCAGCCTTTGAAACAATGGAAAGCCCTTCACATTTTAAAAATAATTACAAAATCTTGGGTTAACCTTGAAAATAGCACCTAGCAAGGAGCAGACTGGATTTCTTTCTCAAGTAATTAATTGAGAGAAAGTCAATGAGCTAGAAACCTTCTTCATGTGTCTGTGTGCACACATATGATCTTTTTTTAAGATTTTTCAACCTAGAATTTTGTCGTTTCACTTCTATTTTATAAAACCTTGCTCAGCTCATTTTATATTGCTCACTGTTTTGTGCATATAAAATTTATTGGCTGGTTTTGAAATAAGCTAAAGTAGCAGTTCTAATTTTCAGTCTAATAATTTTAGAGTTGAGCCACTACTTACTGTAGTTTGCCAATAAGTGATAGAATTTAACTCTTGTAACTGCTTTTCTGATGCAAAAGCTACAATTTTGTCTTTAAAGAAAAATGTACTGGAACATTTTAACAACTAGGCAAGCTATGTAAAACATTGCTCCATCCCTCTGTGACTTGATTGTTAAATTGTACAGTTCTAGGCTGCTCACCCCTTCAAAGGCTGCTTTTTGTCCACTTACATAAATGTGGATCTTACACAGATCTCTGCTGCTCTTTGGCCAAGTGCCCTGATTTTAGTGTTTTTATGTGGCTGTACAACACCCATTTTCTTTTTTTTAATATGTTTACAGTGTGCCAGGCTCTCTTTGCAAGCTGTGTAGTTACATAGGAAGACTGGGTGACTGGCTCTGGGCTCAAACTGAGTTCCTGGTTAGGTGCTCATGTAGGAGAAGTTCAACTTAGTCTTTGAATTGAGTGCTGTACCTGCCTTTGCTACATTGCATGTAGGTAACCTGACCTAGCTTTTTTTCCTAGCATTTGTTTGTGTGTTCTTGCACAAAGCTGTGCTGCACTATGGTAGTGCTCATCCTGCTTGTGGTGTGCAGTCATGACTTATTATGAATGGCAGCTCTTACTGTAATTCCTAAAAAAACAGGGAAAATATTTGCTCATGTCCATCAGCTGAACTGTGGGCCTTGTGTATGTTGGCTATGAAATATGGTAGGAAATTAGTACAGCAGAACACAATGCAAAATAATATCAGAGGGAAAGCTAACAACCCTAATCTGTTTATTTGACATTTATTTTACCCACTCACTTTCACATAGATTTCATTCACTCATATCCTCACACCCACACACTTGGAAGCAATGAGATGTTTTGTGCAACACAGAGAGCTGGGAGCTGCCTCATGTGTCCTTATCATGGGTTCTTGATAGGTGCTGGAAAAACTTTTTAAAATCCTTTAGGAGTGTCCTTTTGCTATTCCTGTTGTGCTAATGGGGGGAGGAATGCTGTGTGTGGCACGCTGCAAATCACTGCCAGCCTCCTGTTGCTGCTGTCTTCCCTCAAAGAGTGGTGTGCACTGAGGTTTAATCAGAGCGTGGCCATGTGTGCTGGACAAAAACAATGGGAGCCTCAGTCTGGCTGAGTAAAAAGGGTTCTTTGCCATCCATACAGACCATTCTTTTAAGTTGCTTTGCTGTTATTTTCTGGTGCTTTCTCTTTTTGTGTTGACAGTCACATCTCATTCACTGCCATCTTGAATATTTCTATTAGGAGTCTCTGCAGCACAGCTGCCGGCCAAGTGATCTCTGTGGGTCATCTCTAGTACTTTGACCATAAATGATGCCACATTTTGTTGTCTCTCATGTTTCACAGCAGTTTATGCATTTCTGTTTTAGACTGCTTCAGATGTATAATGAGCTTCAGAAGCGTTATGTTAAAGAAACCAAAACAAACAAGGAGCAAAGTGAAGCCATTAAAAATCTCACTGTAAGTAGAATTTGTTGGAGCTGGTATCAAACAGCCAAACATAAGCTTTTAGGGAGACTGAAAAGTAATTCTTACATTTGTGAAATGAGACCATGCTTTTCTTTTTGTACTTAGTTTCCCATGACTCCAGGGATACTGGAGGGGTAGCCTGTAGTTCGCTTTAGAAGTGAACTCTGTCATTGGTGTGTCTGTAGCACAAAGATGTCTTCCCTTGGTTTTTTCTTTACTCATCCACCTACCTCTCCTTCCAATTGTATATGCACCTTGTGACCTCTTTTGCACCAGCCCTGGTGTTTTCCTGCATGTGTCATGAGCTGATTTTTCTCAGAAGTTCAGCAGAAGGCAAACCAGATGAAGACAAAGAGTGTTCTTTTGGATAGCAAGGTCTGTGGCCCTGCTGTGCAAAGAATCTGGCATCATAACTGGAGTGAAGGTGGGATTGTGTGGTCAGGAGCAGTTCTAGAAGCTTCAAGAGGATATTGCCTCTGCAGGCATGGATTGAGCATTGCAGCTCACCAGTATAATTTCTTCATCTGTGCTTTGCTTTTTTTTCCCTTTCGGACTCTTTGGGTGAATGTAGTTTTTAAATCAGCAATTGAAGGCTCTAGGTTTGCATTTGGGAAATGTTTCCATTGGTATTCAGTTGAACTGTGCTTTTTCTATGCATTTAAAAAAGATTTTCTTGACAGATTAAAATTAATGAGCTAGAGCATAATCTTCAAGAGCAGAGGCAAAGAATTGAGCAACTGGAATGTAAAAAGGTTTCTTGGAAAACTAGTGCTGTTTCTAGAAAACGAAGTCAAACCCCAGAGGGAGGAGTAGCTTCTCACAAGGACATTTCTGCAGAGAAGGAAGCCTGTTGTGGTAGATATTTAGGTAATGGTACAGTTTATTTTGATGATGTTCCTTCCAGTATGCCCAGCAGAGAGAACGCATTTTATTTCTCCAGAAACAGCCACTCCAGGCTATTTCTTCTCCTTCAACCAGCAGTATTTAAAATGTTTTTTTCGTTTTTGAAAACTGGTTGTATAAAAATAGCGTTTTATAATCTAGGATTCCTCCTTGCATTTGTTTGTGATAAAATGTTTGCTGTTTTCTCTTTTTCTGGAGTGGATCTGTTATTGTAATCAGAGGTGGGAGTGCTGGCTGTATTTAGTGCTGGTATTTATTCTAGTAAGATGTATCTGTGCAGATCACTTAGTAATAGTTTGCTGCACCAGCTTTGGTTTTCAGACACTGGGTCACAGAATAACCTGGTTTTAGCCTTAAAGTGTTGGACAAGCCTGGACAGTGCTGGTTTCAGTACGTTCTTCCTCTCATAAGTAAATCCAGAATTTAAGGTGTGATCCTCTTCCATTTCAAAGCATAGAAAAGAGATGGATGAGATCATATAATGTAGGCATATTTTTCAGGAAATGTGTAACAGCAAGGGCTGATGTGACCCTCTCATGTGCCAGAAAAAGATAATCAAAGCATGTGATGTGTGTTTTGTGGATTGTAAAATTATTTGTAAAATAATCCCACATCTAAGAATCTGGCAGATCCAGATTATCCAACTGGCAGATCCTGATATCTTTCACAGGGATATGCAGAGCCAGTTCTTAAGAATAAATCACTGTATGAAAAAGGTACTTAAGAAGCTGAACTATAATTTTCTAATATCACAAAAGGTAGGCAGCTCTTTAGCTGTAATATGATTCATATGAGGGGGAGGTTGACTGTAATGGTTGAACTCTACATTTTTTCATTTGAATATAGAGCTATTGTTGAAGGAGATTAAAAAGCTGAAGAAAGAAAATGGAAAGTTGTCTGCAGAAAAGAGAGCACTAAAAAATGAATTAGCTGGATTAGACAAGGTAATTTATTTTAAGACAACAGTAGGTGATTTTGAAAAACTTAACTTTTTTGCCTGAGCTGAAACTTCTTTAGGCTGAACATATGTTGCTATCAAGTAGAATAGATAAAGAAACCAGTGTATGGCATTCTGGGGGAGATGGAAATGAGTGACTCCTTGAAACATTCATGTCCTGAAGGGCCACTCAGCTAAGGAAGACTATTTTCTCTTGAACTTAAGCATGTCAAAGTTATGCCTCTGACAGAACTCCAAGTTTAGGGAGGGCAGAGGCTTTGAATTCTTTGTTAGATCTATAGGTGTAAAAATTGTGTGAACATTTGGTAATTCTTTCAGTTATGTAACAAGATGCTGAGCTCTTACCCAACTATAGAAGACTCAGTTTAATGTAGTGACATAAGGCTTTATTTTCAGCAGCAAATTGTTTAAGCTGATTTTTCCTTGTTCCTCAAGTCTTTTTGTTTTGTTGTTGTGGATTTTTTAAAAAAACAATCTCTTTTCTTACCTTGCAGTCCTTTCTCCCAAACTAAATAACATTATGGTATTAATTGCAGGAGTAACTGTAAAAGAGGGTGGTAGTTCATTGGATATGTAACTTGCAGAGCATTAAGCAGGGTGAGTTCTAGATCCCTGTGTTTGGGAATCAGGGACAAGGTGTGGCTGAGAGCTTCATCTTGCGAGAGAGATACATAAACTTCAGGTTGTGGTCCCTTTTTAAGGTAGTTTTATGTTGCTGTGTGTTATATGTATGTAGCTGTTCTTTAAAAATGCTGGAAGGATAGGGAGGAGAATGTCAAATATAGATGGTTACACATTGTTATTTTGGTAGATAGAACATTCAAGGATTGGTGATTTGAAGTCTTGGGTGATTATATTCTTCTGTCCATTTATTTCCCAACAATTTCTGACTTACAAAGAATCAGAATGTGTCATTATTCCCTTGTCATATTGGACTGTCATTTTGTAGCTGTCTGGTAAATCCATATTTTTTCCTTTTTAAAACTGATTTTTCCTATTACTAGTCTGTGTTCCAGCCTCTAACATAACTTGAACTCTGCTTGTGTGTTCAGGGCAGAAATTATTAAATTATTACCTAAGGTTGTAGTTGATTGCTGTGGCTCACCATAGCTGTGTTTGCATAACTCAGCCATACACTGGAAAAATCACAGAAAGTGTCTTGGAATAACTGAACTCCTGACTAGCTCTCACTGAGAATGTCTTTGAAAAAAGAGTTTAAGGTGAATATTTCTGGGTTTTTCTAGGATTTTTTTGAAGAGATAGAAGATCTAAAACATGCTGTACAGGAATCTGTGAAACTCAACAATGAGTATGAAAAGTGCTTGAAACAAATCAGTGTAATGTATGGATTTCCTTTTACTGCACATTTGTAACTACTAGGTAATTTAATGCCAGGTAGAGTTTCTACATATTTTTTGTAATTACTGCAACATTTAAACCTACCATTGCTTAAGTGGTACCGTAGTTTGATAATACAGATTCCACAATGTGATCTCATTATGACAAGTGCTTGGAAATGTTGTATTTTGTGACCTAGATTTTGTTTGTTTGTGTATATATTTAAATAAAGTCTGATCTGCATAAATTCAACTGAGTTTCAAACCCATCTCTTTCACACTTGCAGAATATATTCTGGTTATGGGTGTGTATGGGAATAAAATGGAGTTGTTTTATTTTTCAGATTTTCCCAATTTATCTTTTTCTGTAAGCTACATAAAATCAAAGTGTCTGTGTAGATTTGTCAGACTGCTTGAATTTCAGCACTAAGGATATGCTAATGCAAACAGAAAGTAATTATATCATTACATTATTGCAGAGGGATTTCTTAAAGGAAAAATGCTAAATCTCTGCTTGGAATTTTTCTTCAATCCCAATAATAAGTGAAAAATTGTGGATGAAGGAAGGATTTAGTGTTCAGAATTGGAAAGTGTATTCAGAGCATTTTGCATCATCAAAAGAATAATTCCTCAGAAGCTGTTTTTTGATTCAAGAGCTTGAAGAACTCTGGTATTTGAAGAGCTGAAAAGGAAAGTGGGAGTGCAGAAAGTCATAGTCCATGAGGCAGAAATGTCGTGTTGCTTCAGAGAGGGCGAGCAGGGAATGAAAAGAGACAGCTCCCAGTTACAGGTGAAGCTTGCAGAACCTTGGGGGATTTGAATCTCAGCCTGTTTGTAATGACATGCCACAAAAGTTTAACATAGTTACGTTGCAGACCTATGTTTTTCTGAAAGGTGCACATCTCTGCCTTTGTGACATTGTGGTGGTAGAGCAGTGAAAAGTGCTTAGAGTAGAAAGACTTAGCTTGCTAATAAACTAATACAGCTTCTTTAGCTTCATAAAAATACATGGACACTCCTGAGGGATAGGACTAGGATTAGGATTTCATCTTTAGGATTGAAAAATTCTTGTGTCCCCCTTGGTTTGTTAGGACAGTTTTATGCAGTTGTAATTTAATAAAGAAATTGGCCTCAAAGCGTGTATGGTGTTCAGAGTTGCACATTCACCAAGTGATAGGGTAAAGCTCCAGAACTCCTTGTGCCTGCTCTGGCTATGGGCCACTGTGTTCCCTTGTTTCATTCTTGGCTCACTGTACATTAAAGCTGGATAATGATCTGAACAAGAGATGGGAAAGGGAAACAAAAGAGAAGCAAAGCAAATCTGTGTTGCCAGTAAACCTCATGGAAGAAAATAAGGAGGATAGCATGTATAACAGAAAATTATAAGTGCAAAAATGTTTGTAACATTTGCTAATGAGTAAAATAAATGTGAATGCTGCAGAAGCAAGCAGTGCCGGTTACTGGAGTGTTTTTACCCACAGTGCTGGGGTGTAAAGTTGCACTTTCAGCATGTTTACACTTTGGTCCCCTTGTTAAATGATTCAGTAATTGTCGTCGTCCACAGGCTGATTTTTAAATGTCGAACAGAACAAGAAACAGTGAGGAATCCTCCAGTCTTTTCTCATAACTAAAGTCTCCCGGCTCTGATGGGGGAATCTGCTCTAATGAGAATAATGAGCCGTGTGCAGGGGAGCAGCAGCTGCACCCGGCAGCGGGGGTCAGCTGGGATGGGATATATGGGATCGGATATATGGGATGGGATATATGGGATGGGAGCAGCCGTGGGCTGGCAGGTGGCAGAGCGAAGTGGGCAGGGATTTCTCTCAGCCAATAGCAGAAGCTGTCTTTCAGCTCGATCTGCATCGCCGACTTTCTATGAGGTTGGGTTCGGTTTTTTTTTCTTTTTTTTATTTCCCTTTCCGCTTTTCCTTTCACTATCAAGAAGGCTGGCGGTGTGGGGTGCAGATGGGGCACCTCTGGCCAGTTCCATATCTGTGGCACGACTGCCAGCCAGTGACAATCAGCGGGAGGAGGAACGTGTGTGGAAGGGACCGGCTCGGGGGCACTATTGTGTCTGTTGCTGCCGGAGACTTTTGAAAATGGCAGTTCTGCCTTGAGGATATTTTCATATTCTCCTGATTGCAGGTTTGGTTTGTTGGTGTGGGTATCTTTTTTTTTTTTTTTTTTTTTTTAACTTGGTGTCAGTTTGCTCTTGAAGCTGTGACTTTCATTTGTTTATTTATTTATTTATTTATTTACTGGATTTATTTTATGGCTAATGTAAGTTAAATTACCTACTGGCATTTTCTGCTCAAATTAATGCTGTTTTTGTTGGAAGAGGAGACTGTCTCAGACTACCAAAGTCTACTTCCAAATAAGCACTACTTCCTACTTTGCAGGATAAAGCCATATAAATTTGAGGATAATAACATTCTGTGGATAAGAATTTGCCTGTCTTTTTGTCCTTGTTGCTGTGCCAGTTAGCAGATACCTCTGCTTTGATCTTTCCTCCTTGTGAGACATACAAGCAAGGTGTTGTTATTTTGTTTGCTAGTTAAAAGGCAGGCAAGATGAGTATTAAACAGATTAATCAGTCTATATGTGTAGTTCCACATATTGTGGAATTGTGACATTTGGCCAGTGGCTTTTTCCTGCTAAAGCAAGTTTAGGTAGAACTGAATTCCATGCAATTAAGTATTAGTCATGCTACTGTTTGATAATGCATTTTAGAAATGTTTCATGGTGCAGGGTAGTGGCTCTTTGTCTCATATAAGTACTTTGTAGTGCTGATATAGGAAGCTTGTGTTTGAAAATAAGTGGCTATTATCAAATAAGGGTTTCGGTTGGAAAAATAATATAATAGTCATGTGTCAGTATTCACTTTCCCTGAGACATACATCAAATGGGCTAGTTCATAGGACAGTGAAGAAATTCAGCTTGGTCTATGTTCTGCATATAACTGAGGCCAAGATTTTAGAAGCAATCCACAATAATTTTGTGTGGATTTGTAATTTTGTCCCAGTTTTCCTGATATGTGGAGTATAAAGTTTCAAACGTACCAAATATTCACAGCTGTAGTCAGATTTAACTAATTCAGACTTGGTCTGCTAATCACTGAATACTGTGTTGAGTAATTGCTCACATCCTGGATATTAGTCCTAAATTAGGATTTTTAACTATTTTAGAAACCAAAATTGTTTCTTAACAACTTCAGAGTTATCTGTCAAATAGAATGAAACTTCATGGCTGAAGCTGAAGGTCACTTACAAGGAGCTTGAGCTGTCTGTAGGATTGTGTTTTTCCCAGAAACCTACTGTCATCATTAGTCACACCTCAGTTTTTACTGGGACAGTACTGTGCCATTTGCAACTTTTTCTAGCTCTCAAGGAAAAGATGACCTTAACCTGTTGAAGAGTTTATCAGTCAACCTAATACTTACAATGACTGAGCACATAACATTGTTATTTATTTAAAATTGTATTTTAAGCACTGAAATTACCTTACTAAATGATCTTCCATAAAGCTGCAATTATAATTTCTACCCAGTGACTATGTAGGAATGTGCTAGAAGTGTTCCTTATTTTCCTTAGTGATGACACAAACTCTGTGTGGGGGACTCCTACAGTAAAGTTTTGATGTTTTGATTGTCAAACTCCATGGTCTCAACAGAACCATCTCCAGACACAGGATAATATTATGCATCGTGTTTCCTTGCTTCAGGGTCCTTTTGTGCTGCAGCCCATGCGTGCTGTAATGGCAAGCCTGTTCTTGGGTGGGGGATCCCATTTTGTGGATTTCTCTGGAAGTTCTTCCTAAGCTTGTGAAGCAGCATCTCTATAGGTCCCCCGGAGTCCCTTCCCTGTGACCATGCTGCAGAGTTTACCTTTAAGGAGCGAGGTTTTCAGACCTGCAGTGCTCTTCAGAGTGAGACCCTGAGAGGCTGCCCCTGGAAACTGAGGGATTTCATTGCAGAGCGAGGGCTGGTGCCTCTGTGCTCTCAGCTGGGCCCTTTCTTGTGGGCACTTACCCTGAAAAAATGTTCCTGCCAAGGGCTTTGGAAGAAACAGAAAAAAATACTCGAGTTTCAAAAGGAGTAAATTCCCTGTTTAGGTTACAAGGTATCCAAGGCAGCAGAAAACAGTAAATACAGTGGGTTACCTCACCAATTTGGGCTCATTAACTGTTTCTCTACAGCTGCGGTGAAGTTTGGTTTTTCTGAGGCTTAAATGTTTCTTGTTTTCCCCTTGTCAGAAATGGAGCAGCATTAGTTAATTACCTGTTTATATGTGCCTCTGTTCCTGGAAACATCCTGTAAACTTGTTCTGGGATAGTGAATTGCCCTGGGTTCTTGGAGATTACAATGAACCGTATTAAAGGTGGCAATGCAATTGATTGAATGTAGTCATGTTCTGCTGTTTTTGTTTCTTGTGCCAGAAGATGTCCTCTGGGAGTTGTTTAGCCCCGAGAAAAGGAGGCTGAGGGGAGACTTTATTGCTTTCTCCAACTTCTTGAAATTAGGCTGTAGCCAGGGGGGCGTTGGTCTCTTCTCCCAAATAAGTGATGGGACAAGAGGAAGTGGCCGCAAGTTTGCCAGTGGAGGTTTAGATTGGACACTAGGAAAAATTTCTTCACTGAAAGGGTTGTTCTGTATTGGAACAGGCTGCCCAGGGAAGTGGAGGAGCCACAGTCCCTGCAGGTATTTAAAAGATGTATGGATGTGGCAGCTAGGGACGTGGTTTAGTGGTGGACTTGGCAGTGCTGGGTTAAGGCTTGGACTCAGTCTTGGGGTTCTTTTCCAACCTCAGTGATTCTATATGTATCCTAACAGATTTTTTTTCCTTTGTTGCAGCTGCTGTTCAACCTAAGCTCTTTACCCACGATTGACCCCCACTCATAGTGTTTTCACTGTGAAGTTCTTAAAAAAAGCTTCATGCACCAAGATGCTGGCTGGCTGTCATCTGCTTTCCTTGGTGCTGGTGGGAGCAAGTGCAGTTCTGTGCTCAGCCTCTGTGTGCCTGGAGGAGAACTTCATTCCTTAGGTCAATTACATATTCCCAAGCCTTTCAGGGTGACAAGAAGCTAACACTGTAGGGCTTACATGGTAGCTTTCCATAGGGAATGCAGACTCAATGAATATTTTATTTTGTATTTTCTCCACAGGGATTTTGTGCTGACAAAAAGCCCAATGTGATCCTTTGAGTATCCCAAGCTGTTTTCATCTGAGAGGAGAACTTGAGCCATTGCCTTATGCTGGTACTGCAATGCTGAGTTCTAGCTCAACTGCTGTGAAGAATCTCCCTCTGAAGAGGAGGCTCTGTTTTCTGCTGAAACTTGTGTGCTTTGTCAGCTCAGTGTTAATATTTTGTGAATTTTTAATTTACTATGTGGTGATATTTCAATGCCGATGGCCAAACTTGAAAGATGGAGCTCACATGGCTGAAAAAGAGACTTCAGCTTCAGTCCTAAAGGCCATCATTTTAGCTGATACACACCTGCTTGGTGAAATCAAAGGACATTGGCTGGATAAGCTAAGAAGGTAATTATTAATTTTTTAAAATTATCTCTAGCCAGTATTAGAGTTTTTAGTAGTAGCTAATGGGACAATAATTCACTGTTCTATTAAACAGCACTTCATTAGAATTGTAATGAAAAAAATTAATAAGCTGGTATTACTTCTTGCATGTCTTGGTCCTGATTCATGGTGGAATTACCCACCTACTGTCCTTACACCTTATTTCTAAGTATTTAATTTGGATTTCATAATATATTTTCATATTTCAGTGTGTAAGAGCCAGTTTCCCATTCCGATCACCAGGCTGTGTCTCTGTATTGAGCTAAGGATCCAGAAGTAAGGCAGAGATAACTGGTTCTGTGTTTTCCTTTCAGGGAATGGCAAATGGAGAGATCTTTCCAAACTGCCTTATGGTTACTGCAGCCAGATATTGTTTTTATTCTGGGAGATGTTTTTGATGAAGGAAAATGGAGCTCACCTCAGGTATGGCATCATCACCTGTCTCGTTTCAAAAAATGAGGATTTCTTGAAGGAAATGGAAGCAGATTAGGTATGCAAAGCTTTGTTTAATACTGCTTCAGTTGTCCTGTTGGTAGAAGTTTCTAGCTTTTCACATAGGAGTTGAAATGTTGTGATTCTCCTTCATTTTTTGGAAGTACCTTGACAGTTTTGTGCCTCCTATAAAACTTACAAAATGCAAACATCTGAGTTTGTGCTTCTGTGTTATATGCTTGTGATGGGCTGACCCTGGCTGGATGCCCATGTCCAACAAAGCTGCCCTGTCACTTCCCTCCTCAGCTGGAGAGGGGAGAGAAAGTACAAACAGACCTGCCTGCTTTACTGACCTTGGTGTCTGCAGGGCTCTTCCTCTCACAGATTCTCACTCCTCTCTCTGGCTGCAGTTGCAGAGTTTCCTTTCTTGCCCCCTCCCTAATTCTGTAATCCCAGCAGCACTGTCAGCCTTGGGATAGTGGTGGGTCCATCTTGGAGCTGCCTGCATCGGCTCTGTGGGACACAGGGCAGGCTCCCACAGAATCCACCCCTGCAGTACCAAAACCTTGCCTTGCAAACCTACCACAAAACCTGGGATGCTGTGCAACAGCACCAATTTCTTCTTCTGTTGTTCTCCTGCAGGCCTGGGCAGATGATGTCAGGAGGTTCCAGAAGATGTTCAGGCATTCTGTTTTTACGGAGCTGGTGGCCATCGCTGGCAATCACGACATCGGATTTCATTACGAGTGAGTCTGTTGGTGCCAGGAGCACACAGGTGCCAAGAATGAAGTGCCAGCCTGCCCACAGTAACTGTGCTGGGTCTGAGGCACCTGTTTTGTGCTTATACAGAAAACATTTTGAGCACAATCAAATTAAAAAGCGTTGTAATTTAGAGTAAGGCCTGTGCACAGAACAGGTTTATGCTTCTCTGACCATATGAGGGTTGTTCAGAGCTGGTCCTTCTGCACTGACATGGAATCCTTGAAGCTGCTTTTCCTTGTACTGGGCCTCCTGCTTAGGAAGGCACCTGAGCATATTTGCACTCCCTGTAGCACAGGAGAGAGTAAGTGCCCTCACTGTGCTGGTGCTTGCACTGGTGGGAGGGGCTGGAGGACACAAGAGGTGTCAGAGCATTCCTGTGAGTTTCCTGAGTGATTGTGTGAGCTGGATATTGCAGCAGCAAGCTGCATGAATGGTCAGCAAACTGTAAAGCAACTGGGTCAGCTGAGTTCCAATGGCAATTTCTTACCTCAGTTGTATTTTTGCTCTGTGACACAGAATGACTCCTTACAAGGTAAATCGATTTGAAAAGGTTTTCAACTTTACTTCAGGAAAGCTGATAACTCGGAAAGGAATAAAGTGAGTATATTTAATTTTTTCTAATGAAATAGTGTGGGAATTCTTCACTTAGGGCCTTTTTTTTAATCACCTACATTATGGTGTGTTAAACCCCAAACACTTTGTACAAACCTGTACTTTGATATGGACAGGAAGCTGAACTTAGATATTGGAATATGATCCCAATATTACCGGGTGGAACGTGCCTGGGCTCGTCTGACCCTTGCTGCTGTGTAAAGTGTAACAATTTCCTTTTAAATGGAAAAGTACTGTGGAGTCAGAATCCATTTCTCTGGTGTGCCTTTATACTTCCTTGCAGCTGTTAATGAGCCATGGCTGTAAACATAGCAGGATAAAGAAACATGAACCAACCCCCTCTGTGTTTACAAATCAGGAGTTCCATTAATTTTAATAACTTCTTTAGTCTGCAGAGCTTAACCCTTGTTTGAGGGATTGGGGAACACAGCAGTTGTGTGTCTGCAGTTGTTCCACAAGGTGGGGTAGTGATGCTCGAGCTGGTTTTGGCTTGGAGCAGACCTCGGTGCATTCGTTCTCACAGCTGTGTCCCTGTGGCTGCACTTGGCTGCAGGGTGCTCTGGTACCTCCAGACCATGCAGGAACCCGAAGAGGGAAGGCACTGCTGGGTTTGTGGAAAGGTCTTGAAGCCTCAGATTCAGGAAGGGAAGGCCCATTGCCACTCTGTGTTTGGCACCCGTGCCCTTGCGTTCTACTCACTCGTGGAAATATGAGATTCAAAACCTGCAGGTTCACACTGGTTCCCTTAATTAAGAAAACATAAAGGTTAAATTAAATATTCTGAACAGGTCTGGAAATAGTTGTGTCTCTTTTAGGAAGATCTATGAGCTTCAGGAATGCTCAGTATGAAGCTGTTGCTTGTCATGCAGATGTGGGGTCCTCAAGATATCTATTTCAGCTGTTTAAAAGATAATTCTTATAGAACATCTCCATGTCTCCTTTGATAAAACAACACAGCAGAATTCTCCTATGCAGTTGCAGATGGTATGTCTGGTATCCATTAACTGCAAAGAGCTGCACTATTAATATGCCTAAAATAAATATTCCGAAATTATAAACTATTTTATAACAAATCTATGGTATAAAAGCAGCTTAATTTGCTAAAAGAGAATTAATTTTTGTTTTACTATTGACTAGTATCTATTAAGTGAAGCATTCAGCTTATTTTTGTTTTTTAAACAGACTGAATTGAACTGGGAATGTATCTCAAGCTGAATGTGTGACTAAATGGGTATGAATCTTGTGGCAGAACTTAAGTTTATTTGAAATCTACAGGGAAGCCTTCTATTAAAAATAAAATCCTGTGTTATGTGTCAGAGACTGCAAGGTACAAAACGAAGTGTGTTCAGGGCAGTCACCCAAATGCAGTGCTGTTCAGCTTTTCAGTTGTTCTGAAGAAATTCAGTGTCTCAAATGCTGTCTCTGAGGTCTAAACCGTGTGGGGAGAGAAGCAAGTCCTCTTTTCCCTCAGAATTTAGTTTAGTGATAAACTTCTAACATTCCACTAGAATACAACTTAAGTATCTATTAAAATATAAAAAAATCTTTAGTGTAAGCATGAAGCATAAGCTACATTGTGCAGCCTAATCAGCAACTGCATAAAGGAGCCAACCAGGCAGAGACATGGCTGTGGTACAGATACTCAGAGGAGGATTTGCAACACCTGATTTCAGGAGCTGTTACATTCTGCTGCTTTGTTGAGCTATGTCCAACTCAGGAACACTTGCATTTTAAAAAGAAGTTTATCCCATACCTGTGAATGAACAACAAATGCCTTCCTGTCCTCGCCACTTCTCTTTGCCCACCCCCTGGTATTTTCCAGCTTTGTCCTAGTGAACAGTGTAGCCATGGAGGGTGATGGCTGTGCTGTCTGCCGTTCCTCAGAGGCAAAACTTGTGGCACTTTCTCACAAACTGAATTGCTCCCAGCAGGTAAGAGATTATTAAAGATCTGATTACAGCCAGAGACTCCTCTGCCACAATGGTGATGCTGATACTGTAGCACAGCCAGGATACAGCCAGGCTCTCCCGAAAAAATCTACTTCCGATTCATAATGCAACTTTTTAGCAAGTCTTTCTCCCCCTCATATCCATCTCAACCATATTTACTTAACTATTAACAGTGTTGCTTAGCACTAATGGTGTCAACTTCCTTGTCAGTGCTGCCAACAGAGAGTCATTTCCTCTGTTCCCAGCAATGGCAGTTCTGTAACTCTCCCTTTGACTCCAGATACAAAATCCTGCATTTATATTTATGGATATTATTCTGTTTTATACCCTTCAAGCATGTTCTTTTAGATTCCTTATTCTACTGCAATCCTTTCCTTGTACCCTAGTAGTGTTTTAATTGTATTTTTTCATCATATCAAATTGCTTCTTGTATTTCCTTCCTCTTCCCTTTTCCATAGGCTGACAGGATGCACAGTAGGCAGCATGACTGACTGGCCTGGCAGTCAATCAGGAAACCAGCTCCCAGTGGAAAACCTGCCAGACTCTATCTCCCCTGGGCTGCCCTCAAACTCCTTTGCCTTGCTGGTGCAGAGATCCTGCTGCTGCTGCTTTCTGCAGTTGATGAAGCTCAAAAGTACACACTAAAGCAGCACAGAATCTGAAAAATATAAAAGCTAAAGCTTAAGGCGTCACAGTCAGAAATGTCATTTACAGCATGTACAGAATGGGGAGTTTCACCAGTCCACAGTAAAACTTAGGAGTTCATACAGTGGGTAGTATATCTGAGCTGAACTGCTTAACAAAAACCAATCCAACAACAACCCCATCCTCCCTAACCCCTTAAAGCTTAACTATTCTTTAATTACTGTCACCCCTTCTATGACTTAATTTTGTTCACAGAAACCAAATCACTCCAACAAAAGATGCAGTGATGTGGAAAAGCTTCCAGCTTCAAAACCCATCCTTTTACAGGTGTGTTAGAGGTGGGGTGAGGCAACATACTGACATGTTGTTTTTGTGGATATATTACTGTTGCAGAAAGGCTGGATCACTAACAACCAATCCTTGCTTTTAATTACTCCCAGCATTATCCTCTCTATCGGAAAAGTGATGCTGAATGCACTGGAGAAGATTCTGCTCCTCCAGAGGAGAAAAACATTCCCTTTAAAGAGAAATATGATGTGCTGTCTCAAGAGGCATCACAAAAGGTTTGATTTCTTGGGAACTTGAGTGGCAGTGGGTGGGTGAGAGGGGGACATGACTGTAGATATAAATAGGTTAAAAAATTGTGATAAGGCTGTTGGCTGAGACAAACAGAGCACATCTGCTCCTGTCTAATGAGGCCTGGGAGAGGCTGCTTGTTAGAGCTGCTCCCCTGAGGATCCTCACCATTCTGGCCTTGGTCCTGCCAGGTTTCCCAGGTACAGCTCCTAAGTCTTTGCACTCTTAAATCTGCTGTGCTGCCATTACCTCCACTCCAGCATTCCGTACTTTCTGTACTGTGTAAATTATTGACACACCTGGTGTGAAGCCACAGTTTTCCAACACTTTGAAAGCATTATTTCTGCTGAATTAGTAACTACAAAAAATTTAAAGTATTCCCTTAAAACTCAATGGTCATTGTTTTTTTCCTTCTGCATAAATGTCTTCACTCAAAGATTGGCATTACAAGATTCTTCCTTAGACAAGAAAATAGCATTGCTTTACTAAACCCAAAGTTTTTCTTTGTGACATCCACAGCATGCTGTTGCCTTTGTTCTGATCTGTATGAAAAAAAAAAAAAAGCCCAGTACTTGGGATCAGGGGCTAAATGGACGTGATTGATATTGCAATACCAACAGATTTCTTACTGGAAGACAGAAGTTTATAGAAAACACTCTGTAAGAATATGAGAATTGCCATAATGTTCAAAGGAAAAAAAGGAGTTTTTAAATTCAATTTCTTTTTAGCTGTGACATAATTTTTGTGCTTTACCATTTTGTGTTCTAGCTGCTATGGTGGTTTCAGCCCCGTTTGATTCTCAGTGGGCACACTCATAGTGCTTGTGAAGTGCTGCATGCAGGGAAAATTCCAGAAATAAGTGTCCCATCATTCAGTTGGAGGAATAGAAACAATCCTAGTTTCATCATGGTAAGTTTTAATTTTTTTTTTATTTTTGTCAGATAACTTTCATAGATAAATCAACATGGCAGTCAGCTATATTTTAAAACTGATTCTACCTGTAAAAACGAAAAATAATAAAAAAAAAACTGCCTACCCACCCAACCCACTCAGTACACTGCATCCACTTTATAAAGTACATCTGTGGGAGCCACATGTTCTGTGTGGTACAAAGCAATGCTGCTAAAGACCTAATTAGTATCTGGGTACATTTTCTTAGAAAGAGGGTGCACTGTAAACTATTGACTTGTAAAAATAATCAGTATTGTGCACTGAACAGTAGAAAGACCAGTTTGGCTTGGCTGATTTACCAGCTATGAAAACAAGACTGTATCCACCTCAAACCCTTTTGCACGGTGATCATGGTTTTCAAACGTGTGCATTAATGCAGTGAAAGCGTTTGTGACGTGCCCACAGCCTCCTCATTGCCAGTTCACATTTTATACAGTGCCTTGGTTATGTTTGTGCAGGCAGTTCCAGTGCTCAGTATATCCTTAGAGGTAAATCAATTAGTTCCCCAGTTCAAAAACAAAACAGAACTCTTAGAAACTTGGAGTAAGAAGCAAAACCTACAATCTGTTTACAGAGGAGTCTGTGACTTGGAGAGGGAAATCTTTTATGTATGTTTTACTGCTGTTGAGTTTAGGCTGCTTAATACACAGGAAACCCCAAATGTTTAAATTCATTTTATGCAACTGTTAATATGTGTTGTTGAAAGTAGTTCTGTTTATTTCATAGTCCTGAGAGTAGCTGCCTTCAAACTGCACACACACTCTGCACACGCCAGACAGCACATCTTCACTGCAAAACAAGAGGTTGGCTAATAAAGTGGCATCCTCTTCACTACTGTTTGAACTCTCAGCCTCTATCTGCTGTAAACTTTAATTTAAACTGCAAAGTAAAGCCAAAACCCAACAAAGTTCTTTGTTGCTCAAGTTCCTATTCCTAATTTGGATTAGCCAACATGTGTTTTTGCAGCATGTACTGGGTAAGGAGGGGGGCTTGGGGAAGGAAGGGGCACATTCACAAAACCTAACTTTAGCCTGGAAAGGCTCCTTCCAGGTGGATTTGCAGCAGCTAAAGTTAGGCTTCTCTTGAAGGCAAATCAGATGAGGAGCCCAGCTCTTTATGCTGGATGGGAAGATTGGCCTCTGGGCTAATGTTGGCCTGGTGAATATTCCAGTTAGTGCCCAGCACCACAAGGTATGGACTCTTCAGCCCCCCGGAGAAGGCACTGGTACTAGGAAACTGGCCCCAACCCTTGCCACCCAACATAGGGATTTAGAAATTGGAGATCTGACAGCTGTGGTGTTCACTTCTGATTCAGAACCCACTGTAACACAGCAAAGTGACAGTCTTCATTTCTTTTCCAGGGCAGCATAACACCAACTGACTTCTCCCTCCAAAAATGCTTCCTTCCATTTGAGAGCAGAGTCTTCACTATCTACTGTGCAGCAGGTGCTCTGCTTGTGATCCTGGTACTAGCTCATGTTCAGCTTCTCACTCCACCGTTTTATTTTGCTCAGCGTTTAATCAGTAAGCATAAAGCAGTATGAAGAGCCAGACATCTGCATTCAGTCACTGAAATACCAAAGCTGAGAACAGTCAAACATCAGACTATATTCATGCCAGCAAATGACCTAATTTGATTGCTAGTCTGAAGGCAGGTTGCATTTACACATACCATAGAAGTCCTATACAGCTGATATGACTACTACAGGATAAATAATTAACTGAAATGAACGTTTCATGCTGTACAAAAATACTGTATTCGACAATCAAATGAGTCCTTTTCCTGCTATAATTTTTGTATCAAATATGTATATTAAAAGTGTAACTGTACATTATGTAAATCCTATAGCCTCATCACTTGTCTGCACTTGTTTCTTACCCTGGTGGAGGCTGAATCTTGCAAACTGGAAATGTTTCTCTGTTTTATTGCTGCATGGCCCTTCAAATGTCATACTTGTGTTTGTTAGGGTCAGGCAGAATCTGGATGCATCAGCACTGAGAGATGCAGATTTCCATAACCTTTTAGTGTTGTGTGTAAGGGACTGTGGTTTGGGACAAGAAATCTTCTGGTTCCTGACACAGTAAATTGTTAGCTGACTATGAGTTGCAGTTATCCATCTACCAGACAACACGGGTAAGAAAAGCTCGAGGATCCAGTTTGCTGATACACACTTGAAAACTGCTTTAAAAAAAAAAAATTAGGGTGACACCTCAAGCTGCTGCTTTCAAAAAGATGTGCTATGATGAGCTTAAAAAAGAGGGCCCTGTTGCATCCCAGAGATCTGTGGTGAGGGGCCCTCCGGTTGCCGATCTCCTGCAAGAAGGAAGGTCAAATACAGCTGCAGTAACATTATCCTATGCCTCAGCCCTCAGTCTACAGCCAGGGATAGGAATGCACCTTATTTTACATTCCACAAGCTCCGTTGACTTTAGTGTAGTGTCGCATTTTGAACTGCACCAGCTCCTCTGTGGGGAGGCAGAGGCCACCAGCTGTGCCACAAAGACAAATCTGAGCTCAGTGTCTCCAGTGTGTGGGGGCAGGTGGGACAAGCCTACTGCTGCTCCCCACCCATGCCAGAAAAAACAGAGGGACTACATCACACCAGGACCAGTTTTCCTGCTGATGTTCCTGCAGAGGCTGGGAGCTCTAACCTGAACTCCTGGGCTGGGGCTAGCTTAAAAACAAAAAAATACTATCTTTTGTTATTCATTCTATTACTTTCTTTGGCATGACAAGTAAGAGAATTCTGTTTACTGTTAGTTTATTCCACCCAGCCTTTCACTTTTTGGGAAATACGAGTGAACTGAACATAGAGATTTCTGGGAAGAGAAAATGGTCATATTATAGTATCTAAAATGGGATTGTTTTATATTCAACTGGAAACAAGTTCTCAATTGGACTGTAGTCTGATTTTAAAAAGATGGGACTTAAACTGATTGGGGTTTATAACTAATAACAATACAGTAAAAAGTTAATAAAACCTGCTGATTTATATGCCAGTGTGGGGATTGTGTTAGCTCTTCATCTCTCCCTAAATTTAAAATAAAATGGGGGGAATGGTCCAAAGTGTGGTAAAACATTCTATAAAGTAATGTAGTCTAACACTTCTCTAGGTTTCTGTTATTGCAACTGTAATTTTAGACATTTGTACAGGTTATCTTGGACACAGGAAAAGTATATAGTCACAGACATAAAACACCTATGTATAAAATATAAAGCAGTGTTATAGTTACTAAAAAGGACATGCCTTATTGCTACAGCAATTCTTGCTTTTTATATATTGTACTGTACCACAACTTGTTTTGAGAATGTCATTTGCATAAATTATTCAAGTTTGAGAAATATTCACACATTTTGATTCTACAATATTTAAAATAAAATAATTTTCTAATGTGTCTCTTTATTAAAAGAGAAATAAAAATGTCATCTTGTAATTCTCTTAGGCCAGACACAAGGGTTTATACACCTTTTTTTTTTTTCTTATCTTCTTTCTCGCTATTTACTTGCACAATGAAAGCTGCTGTTGGTACAAAGATTGAAGAGCTCTATATAATGGTGCTTTACACATTCACAATCGGTCTGTGCAATTGTGAAGTTCTATGAATGACCAAAGAATTACCAAACATATTTTCTAAATATAAAGGACAAAAAAAAAAAAAAAAAGAAATAAGAAAGAAAAAGAAAATAAAAGAAATCCTTGTTTCCCATTAAAACAACACCAGGTTGCAATTTGGACACTTGAATGAATTCCAATGTTTTAAAGCTGAGACTTCAAAAGAGAAAGGCATGTTTGCTGCAACATCCGGTGACTGTAATACCTTACTTGGAAAGGTAAGTGGTTAATTTGCATAATTTATAATTTTTATACTAAAGAGCATTTTTATATAAACCAGAAAAAAACCCCTAAACTCTACAGATAAAGTTCTTACCTCCAGTCACTGCTGCAGGTAAGGTTGACATCAAGCTGTACAGCGCAATCAAAAACATACTTACATCTTAGCTCATTTTACAGGTACAGCCATAATCAAGGCACAAAGATCTTCTACAAGTATTTTTCTTCAATAAAGTTGTACAAAATAATATTACATTTTACAGTCTGTACAATATAATAAACCAGCAGTAAAACAAAAAAATATATATAGGGAGAGGACTGTTGTCCAAGAATGATCGGAACTAAAAGGATCATTTGTGGACAGCACAAATAACATAAGTGAGGGTGGTAAATCTTCTGCCTAGATGCAACAGGCTGAAAAGTAGCTGTAATTCAAATGCCTGAGGTGTGCAGAGACACTTAGCTCCAAAACCCCAGAAAAATTGCTTTGTCTTCACCGTTCCTCTCATTATCTACTCTACTTCCTGTGCCAGTAACGGCTTAAAAGAGGAGGTCACTTTATCAGTTGACCTGCAACTCAGAAATGCTAAAAACTGTGACAGAGTAATAAATATTGTGGTGCTGCTACATTGTGTGTCTACTTCCTCAACAGTATTTAATAACCTGATACAAAGTGCATTAATCTTTTTTTCACCCATCAAGTACTCTTCAATGTCATGTTAAAAAGGAAACCCACACAGAGGGATAGGTATGACTTCAGTGTCATCCAGATGACATACCGGTCTGAACTGAGGTTAACCCACTGGAAAAAATTTAGCAGGTCACGTTCAGTTTTAAAAAAACAAAAACCTAAGGGAACAGAGGTAGCCAAAGGGCTTAGTGGAATGACGAAGAAGTGGCATGTCAAAATAAAGCACAAAAATAGTCCCAAAAAGCATGAAGGGAAAATAACCCAAACTTGCTTCAAATCAGCTTTAAGGTTAAACAATTAAAAGTAAACAAAGTGAAGAGACTGACTTTTCTATAGTATATTCTTCCACCCTGTGTGGGGTAGTATCAAGAGAAAGAGTAAGGAGCAAAGAATTTAAAACCACAGGTTCCACGGTGATCCTCCTCACAAGAGTTCGTACTGGCGGAGGTGCATCCTCTGGATGATGTCTCGGCAGTCGTTGAACACTCTGCGGATGTTTTCTGTGTCCACTGCACATGTGAAGTGTGGGTAGCAGTAATGCCGGCCGTCCCCACTCGCTGTACTTATCCTCTGTGCAAACAGGGAGGCAAAAACAAAAGGCATCAGGGGCCATGCCGTGAGATGTTTCCCATCTCAGCAGTCTACAGACTTGGGGGAACCAAGAGCCCTGGGAAATCTGTACACATATCACTAAAAAGAGTAAACAAAAGGAAGGGAGGGCTGCGGTCTGGTCAGTCTGAATGACAAATCTGAAATGAAGATTACAAAACATTATGGATACTGGGGTCAGGACAGGAGTCTTTTGTGGGAACCACGGACGCCATCCTTAACTGCACAGGCTGTCGCCATTTGTAGCATCACTGTGCAGCCAAATCTGTGCTGCTGCTGACAGCTGTGCAGCCTGCCATGCAGCTGCCCCAGGAATTGTTTCCTCTTCTTTTTCTGGTGTCATCATGTGGCAAATTCTTGAACTCTTGTTTTACATCAGCAGCACAAAACCAAAAGCCTCCCAGTTGTGGAGCCAGCAGTGGCAGAGAACAGCATTCTACTGCTTCTGCTTCTTGTGTGTGGGCCCCTCAAGTTGCCTTCACTTAGAGCACCTATTAAGCCAGCTGAAGGACTGGTGTCATCACTGAGCCCAGAATTTGGTGGAATTGTCACCAGAGTGGCTGGGTTCACTTGGAGTAATAAAACATGCAAAAATCTAGTAAACATCAGACCATGCAGAATTACATTTTCTCAAGGCTACTGCAAACCTTTTTAGGTTCTAACTTCAAGTATCATTTTTCCCATGGTTATCTTGTTAAAATTCCCCAAGATCTTAAAACATATATTCAAAAAATATATCCTAATTTTTGTTCTGTATTACTATAGGACTGACAAATATAAATCCATTCTAGACCACTATCTTGCAGAATATAAACGAAATGTCATGAAAGCAGAAGGTCAGTTTTTAGGATAATGATTTCTATAACTATTTTCTAAATTTTATTATAAATTACTCTAGCTAAACAACAAAAGAGTGTTCCATCTCACTCAGGCTACACCATATATTTTTAACACAGGATTTATTTTACGTGTAGGTTTGACCTTTTAAATACCTGAAGCTACAGATATACAAAACTATAGGCATTTAGAAGCCATGATTTAGACAATTAGATCAACAAGCAATTGCAGACTTTTTCCAGGTAACTTAGGAAATAATACACATTCAACACTGATTCCACAGGGGTGTTCATACACAGTCTAAAAATTATTTTCTTCTTATTTTCTTTCTTTCTTATTGGATTTTCAATACCAAGTTTGATGCTTAACCTCATGAAAAATGCTGAGAACTGTCTGCTTGTGTTTATCAGGCACTGATTTCACTCATGTCTATGGCAGTAAGCTGCCCACAGTGTCCTGGTTACATACACAGCATACCACAGGATGTATTTTCAAAATATTAGGGGGCTGTCTGTTTTTTTCCTGTGACAGCTCTTGCAGTCCTCTCATTTGAAGATAAATGCAGAATTGTCACCCCTACTCGACACTCACTTTGAAAAGTAGTGTGTTACTCAGCATCAGTTCACAGGGGGGAAGAAATCCCCTGGGATACTGATGAAAGCACATTTGCTTTCCAGGCAGGAATATTTAATACTGGCATCCCTACACTGCAGGAGTCAGGATGACATGCAAATTTGAGGAATCCTGGCCTGTGTGTTTGAGCAGCAGCTCCTTCACCTCCCAGATTCAGGTTTTGTAAAACCAGCAGGACAGGAAGCAGAGGGGCCATGCCACTGTTCTAACAGAGGTGTATGCACACTGGGTATGTATT